ATTGATATTTTGTACAATTACTTTTTATCATTTCTAGATGTCTCGTATGAATTGGGATAATGATCGATTGGAAGATCGTCTTGCCAAATGTAGTAAAGATGCAACAAAACTAGCTATGGAACAATTACATGCTTTAACTGGTCAATTAATTAAAGATAGTCTATTTAATAAATTTTAAACTGTTATTTTTGTTGTTGATGTTGTTGTTGTTATTATCATTCTTCACATCCTAATTTTTCTAGTACATTGTACATTATTGTGAATGATTGTATTTTATTTGTCAACAGTTTATGATTTCAAATGACTTTTGAATGAAAACATGTAATTAAATTTTCATGCATGATAATGTGATGATTATGGTTGATTAAATATGCTTGAACTAAACTGTTTATTTGTAATAACTAGTTATTAAATCTACACCGGTTGATCATTGATTATAAAACAATGTGGTATGATCTAATTCTCTGTGCTCTGTCCAGATTTTATAGATGATATTTCAGTTTTTCCCACTAGTTTAAGTGAATCAGCATACTGAAGCACTAAACTGACGTTTCGTGTTAGTGTTAATACTTGTCGCCAAGATTTGTCTGTAATTTCAAGGGGGCTGGTCATCTCCAGTGTGATTTACACATTGTTTACTTATTATTACCGAAAAATTACTATTCATACCATACATAACCCAGCAAGATGTTGTGTAAAAGAGAAAAGTTTCCACACTGGAACTTGACTGGTACGAATCCATCAGCATTGTTTATTACACGGCCACTACTCAGCGATCAATTAATTTTAAGATATCTATCTTACCGATCAATCACAGTGGGGGCATTTTAGTTGAGATGTTTTTGTATGTTAGTTACTTCCAAACAACTTAAGGTCATCTTATATTCATTCTTCTTGTCATCAGTAATCTTTATTGTTAGACTTAAATAGGTTTTTATTCTCTTCACTGCGTAACTATCATCTATCAATTAAGGGACGAGTATACTGCGCGGCAGTTCGTTCTGTTTTACTTTACGGCTGCGAAACTTTTCCATTAAGAGTTGAAGATACTCGTAAGCTACTAGTATTTGACCGTAGATGCCTTAGAATTATTTCTTGCATCTGCTGGGATCATCGGGTAAGTAATACCGGGGTTAGACTCAGGGTATTAGGTAATGATGGTAAATCAGTTGATGAGGTGAATCTTCATCGACTGTGTTACGTATGCCTGAACATCGATTACCACGACACGCAATGCTGACTAGTTTCGGGAATGGTTGGAAGAATGTTAGGGGAGGCCAAACCAAAACGTGGCATCAGTCTTTGAAGTCACTTACATGTAGTCTTAACCATGCTGGGAGATGTAGACTGCTTGGTTGGGGTCTGCACGACTATCGTAACCAATGGTTGGAGAATCGGAGTGACATAGCTCAGGATCGATCGCAATGGCGTAGGTGTATACACTCTTTGTCTATTATAATTACTGAATGACATGAATTCATTTGTTTCATGGATTCGCCTCAGTTGTTTACAATCTAAAATATTTCCGACATGAACTATGTACACACTTGTTTCATTTTAATGATCAATAAAATCGTTTTATTTTGTAAGCAGATGAGGAGAATCTGCAAAATCAATGAATTCATGTTATTCTATTACGTTTTTTTTTAATTTTTGTTCTTTATTTATTTATGCTATAATTGTGAAGAAGATACTACTTGTTCTACAGAATCTGACTGATATGGTTCTATACAACAAAAAAGAGAAGAATACAAGATAGGAGATAAAGATATATTTATGAATCGAACAGTGATTTACACAAGATCAATACAATATTGAAATATGAAATGAATATATACTATTTTTTAAGTGTCCAGTTAATAGACAAATGTGAAAGTAATACACTGACAATCAGAGTTGGCATTACTTTGTCAGTAAGTTAATGTAGATATACCAATTGCAACATCAATAGATCTACTGCTTCAACTAACACGTAAAACAAAATACTACGTTATACATATATTACTGTTTAATAAGATAATACTCGGTATCAAGACTTTAAACAATGAATAGATTCGTTCATATTGTGTACGAGTTACATTCTATTGTAATTATGATATCTCTAAAAGCAATTTTCATTACTGACTGAAATCCGTTCAACAATCATGTAAAACTAGAAAACATCTACTTAGTTTTTACCCTTCAACAGTGCTCATTTATGCTGATTCAAACTGTCGTAAAATTCATCTTCAAAAAATAAAGGCTTCAAATTAGACAGAACTTTTGCAAAACCATCTAATTTGATAGTGAAACTTTCATCATAAATAAGCCCTTTCGATACTTGATTTAAAACTTCTATGTTCCTATGATGAGAAGATACTCAATATCATACTGAATTCCTATGATGGATTAAACTGCAAAGTCGTGCATGGAGGACAACTGACAGACTCGTTCGATGTAAAGACTGGTGTAAGACAATTGATTGATCACTGGGTGGCGATCAGTGTCATGCGTGTCTAGTCCTTATTAGTGCGGATCGAGTGCTATCGATCATGTTGCAATGTAGCCACCAGCCTAGGTGACTCGACACTGTGCACTATTATGAGATTAGATGGTGGTCGGAGGTAGTCGACAGGAAACCCTGGACCCAGCTTTCGTGCTACTTGGCACTCGTCAGCAAGGTGTGCCTGTAATCTTGAGCGAACTGGTGCTCCGTGGTGAATTCGATCTCGTGTCACCCAGCTTCACAGTCAGAGACGTTACCACTGAGCTATCCGAGCGGCAACCGATCTCCTGTAGGACTGAGATGTAATCACAATTGATTGATCACTGGGTGGTGATCAATTTCATGCGCGTCTAGTATATTAGTGCAGATCGGATGCTATCGACTGGTGTAAGACAAGGTTGCTTACTCTCACTCATTCTTCTGGTGATCGACTGGATCATGAAGACGTCAACATCTGGGTGAAAGCACCGGATACAGTGGATATCTAGGATGTAGTTGGACGATCTGGCTCTTCTATCGCACACTTGCAACAACAAACCCAGGAGAACACAACCAGTGTGGCAGCAGCCTCAGCAACAGGAGGTCTCAACACACACAAAGAGAAATGCAAGATTCTCAGATACAACACAGCATGCACCAATTGACTAACACTTGATGGAGAAGCTTCAGAAGATGTAAACACATTTGCATATCTGGGCAGCATCACTGATGAACACGGTGGATCTGATGCAGATGTGAAGGCGTGGATCGGAAAAGCAAGAGCAGCATATTTACAACTGAAGAACATCTGGAACTCAAAACATCTGTCTGTCAACCAACACCAAGATCAAGATTTTCAATACAAATGTCAAGACAGTTCTACTGTATGTGGCGGAAACCTGGAGAACTACGAAAGCCATCATCCAGAAGATACAAGTGTTTATTAACAGTTGCCTACGCAAAATACTTCAGATCCGTTGGCCAGACATCAAGAACAACCTACTATGGGAGAGAATAAACGAGATCCCAGTGGAAGAAGCGATGGAAGTGAATAGGACACAGATTGAAGAAAGCACCCAACTGCATCAGAAGGCAAGCCCTCACATGGAATCTTCGGGGGCAAAGGAGGAAAGGAAGACCAAAGAACACATTACACCGTGGGACGGAGATAGACATGAGAAGAATGGACAATAATTGTATAGAACTAGAGATGAAAGCCGAGGACGGAGTAGGTTAGAGAATGCTGATCGGCAGACTGCTCCATTGGTGGTGACAGACGTAAGTAAGTAAGTAATATCCCTATGGTCTAGTAGTTGCGTACGTAATATAATTAAGAAAACTATCGATCTATAATATAAATTATCTTTAATATACACAATGAATTCATGTATTTTTGTCTGTTTAATTTTTTTCTCCTTCAAATCATAGTACCACTTACTATGATTTCAAATTAATAATTTTTGTTTTAATGAATGTTATAACACCCACCCAGTGTCTATTATTCCACAGGACTTCAGCACAACTCAAGAACGCGTGATTAGTCCGAGTAGAAGGTAAATATATATTTCCACACCAAAACCCGAAACAATCCAACAACAATGAACAATCAATAATAATAAGGATAAGAGAATATATAACTCATCTAACACCTGTCAAACTATCTACATGTCTGACTAAGCAAACAACCAATCATAATCATTTTATTGCTCCTAAATGCCCTGGTAGAGCCGAGAGTGGGGAGAATCAGCTCTTCCTCTCTAAATGCTCTCACATGACCACGCGTATATACCTTCTGTCAGGGAAGTCCTATTCACTACCTTCTCGTGACGGGGGTATTGTCTACGAAGTTGAGAGGAAGAAAAACCAATATCCAGCGCTTTAATCGAGTTGGTGGACATAAAGAGTTCACCTAGATGAGTTGGAAAACCCTGATTCCAAATCAATGGATTCCAGTATCCTGAAGGAACAAATAGCGTATGAACCAATCTTTGATTATCGGCTACCATAGGACTGTATCTCCTTACGATGCCCCATTGCTTTGTGGATTAGACCTTTAGATCAAAGGCTCCGGGTGTGCACCCCCCCCCGCGAAAAAAACCCCACCTACTTCGGTTTGGGCACCTGGGAATTATCACAACTCTCATACAAATCAAATGAGATTTATGTGGGGGGGGGCATCAAATAAATATGCCCCCCCCCACTTGTGTTCAAATAACTAATCATTCTCACCCATATATCATTGAAAAATTTCAATTATTTATTTATTTATTTATTTGGTAATATATTCCATAATTTTAATTTATTTGGTAAATATTCATTAGTTAAATAAGTTGAATGAATTGTATTTAATATTTCTAATTCAGCTTTCATTTCTGTCAATAATAAATAATTTATCTATCAATAAATTATAATTATCTAATCTATTTTAATGAATTTACTTGTTCTAATAAAATGGATTCTTGTTGAATATATAAACGTTTTTCCATTGAATTTAATAATGATTTATCTCTTTTTGTTAATTTCAATAAATCAATTTCTTTGATTTGAAGACTGATAATTAATTGAATAATTTGTAAATGGATAACTTACAATGATAATTCACTTGGTAATAGTCCACATAGTTGAAGATTGGATATTTTTATTGGACTACCATTTTCATTTTGCATCATAGGATTCTAAATTGAATTGTTTTTTTAAGAAAAAGCTCTGTGATTTATTTGATAAAATATTATGATTTAAAGTTATTAAACTAATTACTTGAATGTGTCGACCGCTTCACTTATCTTGGAAGTCTCATCAGCTCTTGTGGTCTGGTGTGAGACGAAATCTCAGCATGGATACAGAAGGCTCGACTAGCTTTTGTCAACTTGCGTCATTTATGGCATAGGCGAGATATCCGTCTATCAACCAAAGGACGGGTTTATTGCGTAGCAGTTCGTTCCGTCCTAATTTATGGTAGTGAAACATCGCCGATAGGAGTAGAGGATATTTGTGGGTTACTAGTATTTGATCATAGGTGTCTTCGAAATATTGCTCGTATATCCTGGGACCATCGAGTAAGTAACACAGTTGTTAGGAAACGGGTACTAGGTAAGGATGGCAAATCAATTTATGAAGTAGTGAAACTTCATCAGTTGAGATGGCTGGAACACAGACTGTCCCGACAAGCGATGTTTTTTGGTATAGGAGTAGGTTGGAAGAAAGCTAGGGGCGGCCAGAACAAAACACGGCACAAGTCCATGAAGTCACTGAAAAGTGGACTCAGCTATGTTGGTAGGTGTAGACTACCTGGTTGGGGACCGCGAGATGATAACATCCGATGGTTAGAGACCCTGAATGACATGGCTCAAATCACTTGTAATGGCGCAGGTGCATCCACTATATATATATATATATATATATATATATATATATATATATATATATATATATATATATATATATATACTTCTACGCAATCTGTCATGCTCAACACATCAATCAACATTTAAGGAATAATAGTTTCATGCTTACCGTAGTGCCGTACTTGTAAGTACAGAATACATTTATACCTATAAAGTGAGAGATATTACATCGTTTTATTTGCCATACCATGAGGATCAGCATCAAAAAGTCCAATCATTGGAATATTTGGATGGATGCAGTTTATTTGAGCAAGAAATTGGCGAGTTATCAAGTCTGGATAACCTTTAGCCTATTTTAAATAACAATTATTAATACCAGTAAAAATGAATTATTTAGCTTACCGTAACCAATAAACAAGGTTTGAATTTTTCATAGAACTTCTCACTTAAAAGTTTCCGAAAAATCGTATCTTTCTCAATTATCAAAATAAATTGAGGCAAACATTCTGTATATCCGGTTGACAGGCAAATAGATGAATTAGAATAGTAATCTACCTGACATAATAACCTCATATCCACTTTTAAACAAACTTTCAGGTATACCCTGCAAATAAAAAGAAACGAATCATGAAGATCACTTCTTGTTAACAAGTCATATGTTATTTCGAGTTACAAAGGTTCCCAAAGACACCTAACCAATTAGTTAGTCCTGAGACGAAATCTCGTAAGGTAATTACTTATTATCAGATCCGAATACATCACACTTCGCTACAGCTGTAATCTATAATATCCGAAAAATTTGAGAGCTGATATCTGTTCTGTAAGTAATATGTCTGTTAATTGTTAAGTGGTTGTCTTCACTTACATTTGTTGGTGTGTATGGGATAGAGGGGTTAGGTCATCTGCGAAGTCCAAATCCTCTAGTCACAACCAAGTTGTCCTCTGTATTTTTCACGCTTGCTCTGATCTCCTTTCTTTGATATCTTGATGAGGTATCTTTCTTTTTAATTTGTCGATAGCACTTGTTTCTCCTTCCAAATCTTCTTGAATAGAATGTGAAGCATATTTGCAAATACTTTTGTATCTGACTTCAGCTGGTATATTGTCAGGTCCTTCTGTTCTTCGACTCATTATTTGCCTGATGACCGCAAGTGATTTCTTCGATCGTTGATGGAGTGACATCTATAGGAAAGTCTGTAGTTGCTGCTTCGATGTTTGGCGGATTCAGTGGAGCTGTCCTACTCAACAGTCCTTCAAAGTTTTCCACCTATCTGTTCCTCTGTTCTCGAATCTCGGTGGCTGTCTTGTTTTCTTTGTCCTTGACCAGTCTCTCTGGTTTAATATGTTTCCCTACCAATTTCTTTGTCGTGTCATATATTTGTTTGAAATTTCCTCCCGTTCCAGCTATTTCCACCGTCGCTGCAAGTTCTTCCACGCATTCGTACCTTTTAACTCTAGTGCTCCTTTTCACTTGTTTGTTCACTTCTGTTTATTCAGCTTGTGCTTTGAATTTCTCTGTTCCTTTTCAGCTGTTGTTGATTGCTGTCTTCTTGTTCTTCTCTTAAATCTTTTCTAGGGTTTCCATTGGCATCCATTTCTTCTGATGATGCTTCTTGCGGTCCAGTACCTCCTGTCACGTTGAAGTTAGTAATTCTTTGATCGCTTTCCAGTGGCCTACATAGTAGTTTCTTTTTCTTTGAGTAGATCTTTTAACGCTTAGAACTTGTTGTTGAGTTATCTTGAATTGAATGAGTTCGTCAGCATGTCGAAGGAAGGCTATGTTGAACCTTTGTAATGGTGTTTGTGCAGTTGTCCGGTATTTCTTTAGCTTCAGTTCCGTCTTGACAACCACCAGGTAGATAGTGATCTGAAGCTATGTCAGATCCTCTCCTGGTTCTTACGTCTTCCACTGACCTTCTGAATTTTTTACTGATCGATCTGGTTCTCCGTGGTGTGGTCCAGTTAGACCCATGTAGTATTGTTTATGCGTTTGTGTGGGAATATTGTGCAACCTATAACCATTTTGTTGAATGCGCATAAATTTGCGAATCTCTAACCATTCTCGTTGCTTTCTCCCAGTCAGTCCATGTCGTCTCATGATATCTTCATACCCGGTGTTATCCATCCCGACTTTTGCGTTTAGGTCTCCTATCCGGATTGTTAAGTCCTTTCCTGAGCACTTCGCTATGATCGATTGCAGCCTCTCGTGTAACTGACCTTTATCGTTGTCGCTGCTATCATCGATGGGTACATAACATTCGATAATGTTCATTGTGATTCCCTCCTTTGTTTTGTAAGATGCTTTGGTGATCCTGGATCCACGAGATTCCCATCCTATAAGTGCACTACGTGATTCTTTGTACAGAATCAAAGTAACTCTCTGAGTATGTGAAGTATTTCCTTCTTCATGACCAAAGTGAAGTAGCATCTCTCCTGAATCTATCCTCTTCTATCTAGCTTGGGTCCCATAGGTTTCACTGATTCCGTCGAGTATCTTCTCATTTGCGTAGCTATTTGGTTGGTTATCGCGATCTCCTACATTGTTCAGACATTTAATGTACCCATATTAATTGTTGCTCTGGTTGTTAGAAGGGACATCAGTGTCGTGGCTTCCGGAGAATCTCGGCTTTCATTATGAGGCGTCATATTTATTTTGAATGAAGATCGTTCGGCTAGGAGGGTAGAGTTTTAATGGTTCAACTTGTTAGTTCTGGCCAGCGGCTTTTCAGCAAGGTTATTTTGTACAGGACGTGTTCGCTGACCTTATGCCTAGTCCTTGGGATCGGCGGTGGCTCTAGAGAGCTACAGGTGGAGTTGCTCAACAAGGAATGTTGCGCAATTTTGTTGGTATTTTCTTGAAATGAACTTTTTTATACTAAGATTCATGGATAGAATGACTGATACTCAGATGTAGTCATTCTGTTCCTGAGTACACAGTGTGCTATAAAACCAGAAGAATTAGTCATTTCATTCCATAACTAAAACTTCCTATTTTTACTAAGGTTTTCATGACCTAAATCAAAGTATATCTGGAATTTAAATGCATCTGTGAGTGTAGTTAGCGACCACTTCAATTGTGAACCTCAGATGCTTCACTGCTATTCGTGATATATTCTAGCAATATACAATTTCGCCGATTTAAAACTTTCCAGCCATCTTCATCATATCACCTCCAAGTTTAATTACTTTATCGAAAAGTCCTGTTAAAATTCAATTACCATAGTCTCATATTTCATGAGAACATATAGTACAAAACATTTCGCCTTATGAAAAGGGAAATGTTTGAGTAAATTCTTAGGTATACACACTCAGACAGTTTACCATTTTAGTAGCCAACATTCAGACTGTCACGTGGTTATATTAACTCGTTAGCTGTTTCGCTAAACTAATTAACAATTATAAAGTAAGATATGTAAACCCAGTGAAATTTTAAAACCGGTAGCTCCAAACATTAATTAATATAGTTTCTTATATCCTAGCGAATGCACACTATTTCTACATAAGCTTTAAATGTCTGGAGTCTAAGCTGAACGACTTTGGAAGACATTGAACAAAAGCTTCACGTTAATAGTTTCTGTGGACAGTTATAAGTAGAGTGACTGTATTCTCTCTTTTCCATGGATAATGTCTTTAAACTGTAGAAACGAAATCGACTTTTCAAAATATGTCAAATGATAATGATCTTACCAAATTATTTCTTTTAACGACGTCGCTTTCATACCCAATCCCTAGATAAATATCACCATAAACAATCAATTTGGAAGAGGCGTTCTAAAGAGGAAAATGTTATTAAGATAAGCTGCCTTACTATTTTAAGAGCGCACCGAGGGAGACTAAGCTCCTTACAAATCTTTGATAATAATGGGTCTATAATGGATTGTCGTTTGAATAAAATGGGATTTGAGTAATATATAGATCTAGATAATTATTCTGAAACAGCTATCGATGTACCGTTTTGTTATGAATTTGTCCTCTCGTACAGCTTCATGGGCCATTTTTAAAATAACCATCAGGCGTGCTTTAATTTGAAAAGAAAGAGAAATTTTGTTAGTGAACGAGACTTCAGGTGACTAAAACGTAGTCACTCTTGATACCGTATGACTAATATGTAAGTTTTATTTTGTTCTACTAGGCTTCACCTGGAAATGATGCAATTATTTCCGGCACTATCCAACAATCTTACATAGGTAGAAAAAAACAAGGTCTTGAAAGGATCTATGAATGAACTTTCGTTTGCTGCACAAAATTGCAGTCTTCCTAATTGCTTGATTTAGGTTCAATGTGATATTTTCTTAGGATCATAGTCTTGCCTACACATCCCTTCAGGAGCTATGAAAATCAAACAAAGTGTTGGCCTTTTGACTTCATCGTTACTTGACTTGAAGTTCTCATCTCTGGCCTAATATTGTCGTAACGTACATCAAAGGTGGACTTTGTTCCGGTTCCACAGAATCCTAAGTTTATTTTATAACAGTGATATTTTTCCTTGCTGAGTTAAATTTATAACTTTCATCATTTATTACGCATCAAGGCTATTGATTTTACTTGAATTAATTTCAGCCAAAGTAACATTTAGTGTATCTTTTTTTTTCAAAAAGTACTGTACGTTTATTGGGTACATTGTTTTTTGTCTGGAACTTCTGTATGTGGCAGTTCACGATTTCACCTTTTCCAACTATCAGTTTTTGATTGAGATCATGAACCGATTGATGTTAGACCATTATTGAAAACCTGGAAGCACTGGACGCCCATTTTGTCCTATTGTGAGGCCCCTCAGCAGTCCTTATCCACGAAACGGCCGTCCAGTGCTTCCAGGTTTTCGATGGTTGTCTAACATCAATGGGTTCATGATCTCAATCAAAACTTAACAATCTCCACAACTCCTATACTGATGTCAGTTTCCGAGTCTAATTTATTTGAAAAACCCTGATTGGTGACTGAATGGTACAAGAGAAGTACTTGCCAACGCTCTAGCCGCTATCCGAAGCCATCACAGTGATGAATACTGCTAAAAGGCGCATTGTCAAGCGCAACCGGCATCGATCTAATGGTTCTCTTTTTGTTGATACACAAATTGATTTGCAGTCATTCAAAATAGGCTCAGAACCAACTCTATTTATTGTTTAAAGAAGGAGGGATTGACTTCATTGAGGTCCGTCATAAATACAAACTAATAAAACGAGGTTTCTTCTGTCTCACTCTTCCAAACGGCTTTAGGCAGGAAACACCTGAAAAGTCTAATCGCAATGCCAAGTCTGTTTTTCTAGCAAACAAAAACGACAACCTGACGCCACAAGTCATCGACGATCATTCAGTGTTCCTAACGCAACTGCAATTGCTACTGCAGTGAGAACTGATAAATGAATAAAAATTCGGAATGTAAAATGTCTTGGTGTCACTAAAGAAAAGCCAGTCTCCCTGACAGAAGTCCAGAAATGGTTGGTTGATCATATTTACAGATCATTTGTCTTCCATAAAATCAAGGAGAGTGAAAGCCCAGAACCCTTAACTCACTTTGAGCATAATGTTGGATTGATAAAAGATTTAACTAACCAGATAATCTATCAGGATATCAGTGAGGTCACCTTTCTGAAGATTTATAGACTAGGTAGACAGGCGGACTTAAAAAAAATCAAACCAGACTGATAAAAATGGCATTTAAACATCCCAATAAATGAGACTCAATACTACAGAATGCATGTAAAATAAAGGGATCAGGATTTTTTGTCCGTGAAGGCTTACCGCTCGCCGACCGTATAGAAAGACGAGAAGCTAAAAAAGGTCTAAAACCAAGGTTGGAAGCTGACGAGAAGGACCTAAGAACTGCACATGTTTTACTGATGAGGTCTCAACAGTGTATGATCCTGTAGTCCCTTAAAGTGCAGCTCAAAGCCATTTAAACGGTTTTCAAATCTGTTAAATAAATGTCTCAAGCTTACTCTTCAAAAGATTGGAGTTAGATAGACGGATAACATTTATCAAGCCAGACTCAATTGACGCCATAGAAACTTGTCCTCAGAACACGTATGAGACACAAATATGTGAACTATCGACTCGTAAGCTTAACCGAAGTGGTTATCGAGGTTCTCGAAAAGATTGTTCGGAAGGACTTGTTTAGGTGTCTAGAGGATAACCCGCTTCTTTCTAATAGGCAAAATGGCCTAAGAACAGGTTGTTCATGTCTCACAAACTTATGAGTAACTCATAAAAGTTAGTGTGCTATTGAAGATCAAAAGTTACTTACATATGTAGCTTAAATTTCCTTCAAGAAGGCTTTCGATAAGGTTTTACACAACCTCCTGTTATCAAGGTTAAGTAATATTGGTATTGGAAGACTGTCTAGTTGGGCGTCAACATGAAGTACAGGTGAACTCAACCTTGTCTATCTGGGAGACTGTGCTTAATGGAGTGCCTTAAGGTACAATTTCGGAGCCACTTTTGTTTCTCATGTTCTCAAATAACCTTAGTTTACTATCATCAGTTCTATTATATGGTGTTGATATCAGGACCTGGCGAGGGATAAAAATGAAAGTGATTGCTCCATAATGAGCTGCGGAAATTGTATGAATAGTATAAAATTTTGTGGTTGCCGACAAATGCTTCCAAGTGCATTGCGATGCATATTTGTCACTGAGATACAGATAAATACACTGTAAATAAAATCGAATTGCCAGTTGTTCAAACACAATGGTTTGGGAGTCATTGTTGGCCAATACTTGAAAATTATTCAACACTGCCATGCTATGGCTTCCAAAGATTTTAAACCACATGTTCAATGTGTAGAATCTTCAGCCATGGCTATGCTAAAACGTTTTCGACTCTATTTACAGTATCTGTTTGTCCTAAACTCAAGTAATACATACACATAGGCAGACCTTGCCTATAAAGAGGCAGTAAGCCGTTGGAAAAGGTTCACAGGACCTTAAATAAACTGATCCCTGTGATCACAAAGCTCTTGTATAAACTAGACCTATTAACCTCGTCATATAGCGTAACCGGAGGTGACTTGATCACAGTTTCGAAATGGCCTAACTATGAATTTACATCTGATATGCCATCACTTTTATTGACATCAAAGACAGGGAATTTACGAGGACACTGAAAAATGGCTTGTGGGCCACAAACGAATTAATTGTCAGTTAAATATCGACTTTCCCATCAATCATCAACAAGTAGGACTGGTTACCTAACGCGTTATTGAAGTTCCATCTGTCGACGTATTCAGAATAGAGTTATATTAACCTAAAGATTACCACTGTCGCTACTCGCAAAGACTACCCGGAATTATGTTCTTTCCAAACTAAAATTAAATATTATTACCTATATTTTGTATGTTCCCAAGCAACCAATAAAGAGGAAAATGTGTTGAAAAGTAAAGAGGAAATAATGAGGGAACGCACCAAAATGTCTGCTTTTTCGCATGTCTAAAAAAAATAATGTTGATTTCTCCCTTTTTGTCGCTTTGTTGGGGAAATTTTCTACTTTTCGTCTCAATATCCACCGGATCGTCTAATTTTTACATAAATATCCGCTGAGTAATTACTCAGTTTCTGAACCTAATGCCTCAAGTAAAAAATCATAAATGATCGATTAAATTCTAATGAATTTACAGATTTTCAGAAATATTAACATAGGAAATTGACTGGTAAACAAGTTTAACTCGTTTCATTACATTTTATGGTTTACTTACTAAATTCTTCTGGCTTCTTTACTAATAGCTCCAAAAAGTGTCTACAAATGTGAAACACTAAAACATACGATTCCTTAGCCTCATTTATATTTCCTGATTTCAGAAACTTCATAACTTCGTATACAATTCCCTCGATCACCGATAACACAGACATATTTTAAAACGTCAACAAAGAGTTCAATTAGAAAAAGATGCTCTGAAATTCGAATACCGTCACACCAAATCACTTGTTGTATTGGATCTTTTTCTGATTTTTAGAACATAATTTTTCATCACAAAATGGTACAATTCTTCAGATTCCCATTTGTAGTAAGGACAGAAGGCCCACGGTCTATGTTATTCCTTTTCCAGTATACTTCTATGAGTGTCCAGTCTCACGAGTAGCAGCCCTCTGTACTTCTCCCAGGATATTCAAGTCACATTTTAAACAGGGGCTTGCAGCCTGAACGCAGTCCTTAAGCTTAGTTCTTACTAAGGTTGTGTATACTGTGGTGGTCATGGTAGTATCTGACTTGGTGAATGTCCGTCTTAAAGGTCAGAAGGTTCTAAGCCCCTTAGCTGCGATCCTCCAGCAATGGGCCGTCGTCTTAAGATCATGACTCACTGTCACCCCTAGATCCTTATGAGACCGGATCACGAGTACGGGTATGTCCCCTACGCTGTACCCATTAACTTTTGTATCCCGAACGTGCATATAGACACATTTTGCCGCGTTTTTAGGCATCAGCTACTCTTTAGATCAGTTAATCACATTATTTAAGTCTGCCTGAAAAGCACATGCGTCTGTGTCTCCAGTTATTACTCGCCAGATCTTTACATCGTCAGCGTATAATAAAATTGGTGACCGTAATATACTTGGGAGATCGTTTACATACACTATGAAAAGTAAAGGTCTTAGGACAGAACCTTGAGGTACTCCAATAAGTATCGGCCTTCAGGTGGTGCACTTGGAATTTACTCTCACTTTCTATCTACGATCTACCAGGAAATCCTTAATCTATTTTAAAGGAGGTCCGGCATTACCAAGGTTTTCCAACTTCAATAGCAGTCTATTAGTTGTCACTTTGTCGAGAGCCATACTGTAGTCTGTGTAGACAACATCCACCGAGTTTCCGTCGTCTAGAGCCTTTATCCAAAACTCCCTTGCTATAAGCAGGTTCCTAGTATAAGATAAACCCTTTCCGAAACCATTTTGTTTTATGTTTAGCAAGTTATTGGTTCTCATCAATGCCATCATTGTCCGTTTGAAAATTCTTTCCAATATTTTAACTACAACACTGGTGAGGCTAACAGGTCTGTAGTTGGGTGGAACTTGTCTTGGTCCTGTTTTATGTATGGGAGTGACGACTGCGTCCTTCCAGTCCATAGGTAACACACCATGGTCAAGTGACATATTGAATATCACAGTCAGTGAGGCCGCGATATATTGTGCAATATGTCTCAAGATTTTGGGGTGTAGTTCACCTGGTCCTGTTGACTTTTCCATGTTTAAGGTGCTAAAAGCCCTAAGCACATCGTGTTGATCGAAGTTCACAGTGAGCAGGCTGCTTTTTGACCTTGCATTTGGTTCTAGTTCTTCGTCTAGGAGAGGTTCCTGGGTGAAAACTGTCCCAAAATAGTTAGCCGTAGCCTCTGCTTTCTGCGGATCTTCCTCTATCATTTCAGGTTCACTCCCTTCTTTAATTAGGTTGGGAATTGTATGATATGTCCTTGTTCTGTAATTTATTCTCTTGGACTGCTTGAGTGAAGAATGTGCCAAATGAATTTCATGTTATCTCTGAGCTTTCCGGGTTTTAATTACACACTTGTGTCTTGACGACTTGTAGCGTTCCATCTTGCTTGCTGTGCCATAACTGATGGCAACATTCCAACATTTCTTCTTTTGCCTTAGTGAAAGTCAAATATCCCAATCTATCCAGGATGGCTGTTCTTTTTCTTCTTCCTCCTCTTCTTGTTCTTTGGGACTGTTCAAGGTATGTATGGCTGAGTTACCCGATTGTATAACTGTCAGAAATGAATCCATGCCTCATGTACTGATGCACTTGAGTCGATTTTTCAATTTTCATTCAATACTTCGGATTCCATTACCTCCACGCCTGCTCTCCGTATGTTGGGAAGGGCCGGCGCAAGAGGCCAAACCAGCCATGAATTTGAATAAGAAGACTGCATGATCGCTGCTCCCTAGAGGTAGGAGAAAAGTCATTTGACCGACATCATCACCGTGTGTGAAGACCAAGTTCAAGAGAGACGGGGAGCTTCGTAAGTCCATATCCGGTGGGATCTCTAATGTGTTGGAATGAAACTAGTTCACTTGGGGTTTCTAATAATTTGCAATCGAATGACGTTATCGGTGGCCCTACTTCTTAGTTAATCCAGTCGGTATACAGTGCACCAAAGTTGTCCACTATAAGCCTTTTATCCCTATTACATCGTGACTTAAGTTTGCTGAGGAGGAAGTCATCTACTACACATTCAGAACTTCGATATACTACAATTAATTCAATATCCTGCAGTTTATATTTCAGTCTTAACTCTTTAGTACTTTGAGAAGAGTCAACGTATGACATGGATAATAAATTTAATCCATGTGCTTCAGGGAAACTCCGCTTGGAGACCCTTCAGGGACTACCGCCGGCCTCAAGCATGGATAAGGGAGGAGGGTTGGGCATGGGGTCAGCGACACCATAATGTGCTTCAGAGCACGCGTTACGTATCTTCCAGTGTGATTATTTCTTATCTATGAACTACACATTTTCTTTCTTTTCGGGGTCTAGTAGTAGGTTGTTCGGCAAAGGATGGTGAAATCACATGACAAAATATCATTTTACATGAAGTAACTCCCTTGTAGTCATCTCTGGGCAATGAGAATCGTTATTACTTGTTTAGTGTGCTCACAAAACTGAATTACTAGTATGTCACTTACTTAAAAGGAAAGGGTAATGCAAATAACAATAAACATTAACAAGCATGTCTTCTCTGTGACCTGTGTTAGTCCTGGCAACGGTGGTCTCTCAGTTGATCCAACTTTCTTTTGAAAGAGCCGACAGATGGACTTCCGATTAAGTATTGAGGTGATGAATTCCATTCGTTGATGATTCGGCTGGAAATTCAATATTCAGCTGACAAGACATGCGAAGGCTAGGTGACCTGTGTTAGTGCCTTAGTGTATGCTCATAAGAACTTGATCAAATACGACAATAAGCAAAAGAATTTGAAAGAAGAGTGAAAGATGCATTACGAAAAACTGAAGTGACAGCATGTGAATGATGAAACGGTAAGAATAGTACCTAAGCTAAGTCTTATATTGAGTGACAAAATCATAACAACAATTATGCAATCAATATTATTTAAAGTTTCTTTTTGGCTAGCCACCACAAATAGATTTCGCTAGCTAATATAATGTGCTCCTTCCCGGCTTATAGTGACAGCGTGAATAGAAATATGAATTTATTAGTTTATTTATAGGCAATCCAAATCAACTGTCTCACTTGTAGTGGCGCGGCCTAAACTAATATGTACTCTTCGTACGAAAGCAGTGGCCAACAAAGCAGAATAGGGAATGACGTAAGGAGTGTCCGTTTGACAGCCAAGACAAAAGAAAGAATTTATTAATTATGAATAAAGTTTATTCGCAGCCGATACAATCGAATAAAAGATGGTGAATGTAAGTGTGACTACTTATACAACGTCACACAATGTGATCTGAAACCGTATTTTATCACAAATAAAAATAATAAACCTACGCATTACCATAGTATCCAGATACTTCAGAAACTTTCTCCGTTCTGTATTTTCGAAAGTAAATAATCCTTTCACCTTAAAATGAGACTCAGCCGGCGAACACCACTTCAATCGTGTCCTGGACCGTCAAACGACACATTCGAGAGGAGAATAGGCACTCATAAAAGCTATCTCGAAAAGTGTTAGTACGGGTTGTCAGCTGTTTGTTTTCATAACAAAAAAATGATCTGGAGCAAGCTTATTAGAAGAACTTATTTGAGATAAAACAGCACTCAAAGCTGATAACGATATACTAGGACAAATGTTAGTGCTATCGATCGAGGTGGTTCAATGACACTAGCAATAAAACGGTCTCTTAGGTGACAAAATGATGACGACTGTTATGCAGTGGATGCTACTTGGAAGGGCCTTCTGAGATAACCACGACAAACTGGACTCGTTCAATTAACAAATGACCTATTCAAATTAGATGGGAAGAGCGTTGCTAACTAGCAAACGTTGTGGTCATATCTTAAGGTTAGCACTTAACGTGAACTACCATTTCGTCGTACCCAGGTATTATGACTACCTTGAAGACCGTAATCCACAAACTACGTTGTTACTGTAATGTATTATTGAGAGTACTTGTAAAAATCAGAGTGCGACCACTGTGTGATTCGTTGATGTACGTTGGTTTTCTTTGACCTTGATGGAAACCGATAAACCGTTTGAAATTCGGTGATCTGATTGCCAGGTGATTTCGCCGGTTTAAGTTACACTTCTGAAGACGGTAATATACTACCATTTGGGATTGAAATCAAGTGTGCCGAGGATTTCCGAAAATTGGCTACGTCGAATCCGTCCCACAGAATTGAAGCTGCAGTTGATCTACGATGGTCTAAGCTTGTTCAAAAGCTCTAACCAACAGTTGTTGCTGATCTTAGGTCGCATAACAGATCCATTAGTTAATCATGTATTAACAGTTTGGATTTACGGTGAAGCAGGACCATCTGATTTCAACGATATGTCCGCAGCACAGGCATGCAAACATCATTCTGTGTGCATTTCATGTAATTCACGGTAATGTGCCGTAAAAGGCACGCTCCCACATTGTTTTGCGTGGCATCCAGAAACGTGATAGGTACTGGCCTATCACTATGTCTCTCCGGTTTATTATTCTGTAATATTGATTAAATCTAGTGAATAAATACATTAATAAAATTACCATCCAACCGTTTCCCAGTTACCGATCGAATCAATTAGGTTCTCAGTATTTTGTCTAAGGGCACGAATTACATGAAATGCGCACAGAATGGTGCTTGCATGCTTATGTGTTATACGGACAGCCGCGCCTTCAGATCGTGCGCAATCCATCACAAATGTTTCTGTCACTGTTGTGTTTCCCATTATCTCTTTGAATTTATCTAAAATCCATGTCACGTCGGCA